GTGAATGTAATAATAATGAAATAAATATACGGTTCAACTCTTCGTTTTGGATCCTTTTCAATATAAAATATAATTCTAAATTACATGAGTAAATCTTAATTCAAAATATAACTACGGTCAGTCTAATAAAACTTTCGAGTGAAATATAATCATTTTCCCCATTCTTCATTTTTTCGATTCTTACCACCCGCACCACAAGACATGTCAAGTCGTGAGAAACGCTTACATTAAGTCTGACAATTTGATGAGCGAGACAATTTGAGGCTTTACTTATTGACGTATATGACACCGTTTTTATTTTATCAAATTGGCATTTGGATAAAGAAGAACTGGCTAAATTGTTGTTTCACCATCCTGAAAGTTTTATTGAACTGACCGTAGTTATATTTTTAGTTAAGATTTACTCTCATGTAATTTAAAATTATATTTTATATTGATCGGATCCAAAACAAAGGGTTGAAACGCATATTTATTCATTATTGTTATATTCATTATTGTTATATTCATTATTGTTATATTCACACAAGAATAAAGAGAATTCTGTGCACCCGAACAGCTGGTTTTTTTTATATCACTGATAGATTCTTTCGAACCTTGTTTTACTTGTTTACATCCATATACTATTCTATGAATGAGACTTAATAAATGCAAAATACATTTACATCACTAAGCTATAATGGAAAAAGATGGTAAAAAAATAAATTATACAATATTTATTACATATTATACATATTATACATATTTTAGTTACATTTGCAGGAATGTATACTGTAACAGTTATATCACTAAGATTATAAGATTGTACTTTCCTATGAAATTACATCATTACGGTGTAACATAATTTCATAACTTACACTTTTTCACAATGTTTGAGCATATTTCATTACATTTGTTTTTGCCCATTGAAAGAAATGATGTTATATAAACAAATCAAGGAACAATAAATGTGATAAGTCAATAAGAAAATGATCGATCAGTAAGTATTATTGCAAATTATTTTTCATTATACATCAAAATAACCAAAATAATTAATATCGCTAGCAAATAAAATCTATTTAAAAAATAGATTAGGTTCTATATAGTTTACTTCTATTTATTATGCAATCAGTTAATTATTTGTATTATCAATTAGATAATAATATATATTGTGTCGTGTCGATTTTTCCTTTATAAATATATTTTGAAGATATTTAATTCTAAATTTATAGAATTTTACAAATTGAAGGTATAACCTTATTCTGTAGTTATTCTCTTTTAAATTGAGACATTTTTGTATAAGGCAGCAATTTAAAAATCGTTATAAATATAAAGTAATATTTAAGTTTGTTCTCAGTGAAGTTTATTTAAATTGATCGTACAGTTTACAAGAAATTTATATTCTTCAATGAAAAAGGCTAGATTATATGTCAAATGGATGCATGTGCATCAAATAAACATCTTACAATTTTTATTTTGTTATTTTAAAACTATTTAACATATAAAATTAACAATATTATATATAATGGCATAAGATATTGCTAGTAATCTTTTTATTCCATTATTTTAATCGTTTTACTTATTATTATGAATAAACTGTCTAGCGCGAGAACCTCTTCAATAGATATATAGAGTGCGCAAAGATTTAAATCATCAATCTATGTATCAAAAAAGCATAAACAACAATTAATTAAAGCCGAAATGGATCCCTGATAGAAATTTCCTTGTTAGTGCCACGATATTGGCGAGTGCCATGATACTTTGCTACTGCTTTGCTACACCATAACCACTATGCCTGAAAATATGTTTAACTACGCTAAAAACTACGCCTAAATCTACGGGAATGAACCAATGAAGTAGTTTGACTATTTCATAGAATAGAATTCTATTCCTATGCAAAGATTTACGCCTTCCTACGCGAAACTATACCCTAAGCATAATTTCGGGTACATTTACACTGTACTGTAAAGTAAACATGATAGTATCTTGAAACTCATTTGGCGTGAATTCAAGATATTATCACATTGCTGTCATGATAGAATTAGGAATCCATCGTAGCATAAATACTTTAATTGATGAACTTTTATTAAAGTCCAACTTTGACTCATTTCACATGCGAAATGCTGTTTATATATACTTTCCCAGATAATTCTTATTTACGAGTTTATGCATCTCCGCCGTGATTCTCTATCGGCGGAGATATATAATGCTCAAGGATGAGTAAAAGTAATTCTGCGTGAAATAATATAGATAGAATGGCTTATTTTTGTTACAAGTTACAAACAGAAAAATTAAAAGGTAAGTACTTTGGTATAGTTTGGCATAAAAATACATACCTCAGGAAACGATTTTTTTCATTCATTCGCGTAGCTTGGCATAGATAGGCATAGTTATTATTTCTGTGTCCAATTATTTGATTGTAGAGTGTGATTCTGCATAAAGATGTAGCATACTTTCTCCGAATTTACGAAAAAATGAAAATCAATTTAGAGGAGTTCGGTATAGAAACGCGTAGTTTAGGAAATAATGATTATTATTATTATATTGCGCATACTTTGGCGTACTTTCTATGCCTAACTAAGTCCAAGTACGCCATTTGACATCTTTCGCGTAACTTGGCGTAGTTATTTCTATGTTTAATAACATGATTTTACGCCAGTTATAGAAGAATAGTAAAAAGGCATATTTTTTGGCGTACTTTGGCATAGACATTTTTCTGCCAAGAGAAGTTAAGTCCAAATAAAACTCATAAATCTATTATTCATACATTAAATATAATTATATAAGAATAAGAATGGAAGACTGCAATGAATTCTGGTGTTACACTATGAAACAAAACTGCATTCCAGCAAGTACTATTTTACACAGTGGATCACAGTGTAACGTCTCTGTGTCCTAGCTGGAAAATAGCCATGGTGTGTTCAGTATGCAAGCGTCTTTCTCTACCTTCTCGTTTGTTCGATGATCGTTCGCAGTCCCAGTTTAGCCATCCTTAATTGTTGTCTTCGTCGTACTCGTCGCAAAAAGTGTTAGTGGTATTATAATTCAGATCAATAGTAAAATCATTCGAACTAATGATAAAATTATCATTAATTCACACGGACTCAACGCATTATCATTATCGAATGATTTTACTACTTGAAGCGTTCAATAAGAAAGTCCTTCGGTCAATGGTAAAATATTTTATCATTGGATATAATTCAATAGGAATATCATTCGATCAGTAGTATGCGCTACTCATTTATACGATTCAGTAGTGCTTTGGTATTGTATTAATGGCAATATTTTACTGAAGATTTTATAATAACGGAAATCTTAACAATTTCTCCAAATAATAAAAATCCTGGGGAAACGGGCAGATGGGAATATAATATAAAGTTGTTGGAACGTGATCAGAAAATAATGTTAATCAGTGCAGATCTTGATAGCGTGTATTTCCATAAAGACGAATGTTTTGACTCTTTTTCGAGTCATCATCAACGTAATGATTTTTAAAACATATGCGACATCATTTATGCATCAATAGCAGCCATTATACACGTAGAATTGAAGGATCCAAAGTGAGTTACATGAATTCCCTTGCAATTTTACACAATTCATTTGTGGAACGAAAAGATACGGTATTATTAAAAGTAATGAATTTATAAATACTAATGACAATGTGTAGCTTACCATTTGATGTTGAGAGATGTGATTACAGGTACAAGAACAAATAATAATACGAAAAAAGTCCAAGAATTCGTATAATACCGTTATAAAACAAATATATATAATAAGTCAGAGTATAAAAAAAGTACTAGTTAGTCAAGGCACGGCAGAGTGACTGTTAAGACTAAACGATATTATTTGAAAGTGTGATATCGCAGATACACACATATAATGTCATTGTTTACAAAAATAAAGTCAAGTTAAAATAATAAATTATTTATAATGTGTTTAGGATCGAAATATAAGCGTGATATAAAAATTCTGTGTCAGACTGAAGATTAAGACTATTATTTTGCATTTGTATATAACATCTCAGATATCAATCTTCTTCCTAAATAACGATTTAAAATTTTGATTTTTCCCAATTGAAATCATGACTAAATGACAGTCTGTGATCCGTAATGACGTAATGACTGATCTAATGTCAGAGAAACTGTTAATATGTGTAAACTGTTAATGGTGTTCCTGGATTCTCGATTTTAATTTTCTGCTAGTTTGCCCTACATATGTCGCATTGCAATCTTTGCATTTTACTTTTTTTTACTACATTCTTATTAGACTCTTTCGGGACATCTTTGTTAACAAAACTTCCAAATTTATTTAGACTGAAAAATACCACCTTCATGTTTAAATTGCTAATGATACTCTTAAATTTATCCGAGACCGATTCAATATAAGATAATACGAACCAAGAAGTACGTTGTTTTGGAGACGAGTTAGTCGTATTGTTTAGTGCTTTGGATTGTTTGTGAAAAAGCGTTTTTAATCTTGAGTCTCAATCTTTATCATCTCAAAAATAAACTCAGGAAGGTAGTAGTCATTCTCCAATAAAGTATTTATTATAAAGTATTTATTATAAATTTAAGGTTTTTGTTGTGGTCTAGGGTGTGACAATAACAAAC